TGCCACGGGGCTAATGGTTGCCAGAAATAAAAGATAAGAAATAAGAGACAACAGAGATTGTAAATGGGGGGATTTTTTTCAAATATTTTTTGTGTCAACTTGATATAGCTAGGTAACAGATGGTATATTATGTTTTTCCTGCCTTGACACAATTTAAAAACAAGCTACAGATGGCTATAATGAAATCCTCATTAACACACTTATATTTTCACAGTTCAGTATGGCAATAATGAAACTTTCAGGTCTGGAATTTCCTGTTGGTTAATTAGCGGTTAGGTTAATAGCCTGAGGAAGTGCACAACCCAAAAAGTTTCCTCGTTGTTTAATCATATAATTACTATATTCATATTTCTGGGAAAGCTCTCAAGACAGATTTAATGTCACAGCAAAGTTACCTTTATAACCCTCCCTGTTTGTGAAACAACAGTATTATTTTATTTAGCAGAGCGTGTAGGCAGGAAAGCCATGAACAGGCCTAATTCAGCTGCCTCTGGGAGGTTTCAGCTTGTTTTTATTTTAGAGATACCAACTTAGAGAAGTCTTCCAATACATATTACAGCAAACACATTGTACAGAAGAGCTGGGATCAACAACTACTGGTCTACAGCTACAATGCCAGTTTATAATCCTCTGCAAAAGCTTGAAATATGATATATGCTTAACAGTACACCAAGGTATCCCTAAATCTCAGATCTAGAAAGAGAACAAAAAAAATAGAATCACCACAAATCTGGTATTCAGGTTATTTCCATAAATTAAGCTGCTGCTATAATCACAAGGTGGCACAATGCTGGCTGCAAGCTGCATTATTACACACTATGATTACAATAGTAGTCAAAGATGTAGAGTTCAGCACTAAAACCCCGTGGATTTCAATAGCCACAAACTAGTTACCAGATGATGACAGGGTGCCTTCATTACTGTGCTACTTATGCTGTAAGATTAAGGCTGCAGCCCAAGCCATCCCCCCCAGCCGTGCCTTCCCTGGGTGGTGCAGCCACACCCCCACACAACCGATACCCGCGCTCGGTGCTGTGGAACAAGGAAGGCAGTAACTTGGCAGAACCAGGTCCCAGAACATTATTGAATGTTGCTGTTGAATTTTTTTCTTTTTTAACTGCCATCACCAAAAAACTACACTGAGAAAGTGTGACACCCTTGTCACAGGGCACAGACCAATGGAAACAACCACACAGCTTTTTGAAGCGCTGGAGGTTCAAAAGAGGATAGCCACTGCCAAACCATCCTCAAAGGAACATAATGTGGAAAACTTGAGTTGTGACTGAAGTTACACAGTCAAAAAGAGACAGTATCAAATTATTTAAAAGTTGTCATGCTAAAAATATCTTTTAAGCCCACCAAACTCACTTATGAAAGAGAATTTGGATTCTCCAAGAATCCCATTATTTTGATGACTATTCTGTAAGATTCTGGAGTCCTCACATTTCTTTAGATAACAATTTATTTAGGCAACATTAAGGAGAATTGAAACTATTATTTTCCTGAACCAGCAGAAGCAGGAGCCATGCACAACAAAGACTTTCTGGAACACTAAATGTCACTATGGGATTCACCAGTCAAATACACCCAAAAAAAAAAAAAGTGAAAAAAATCTCTATGTTTTTTAGAGATCTGAGAATTCCAGCTCCAAACTCAGTTACTTTGCTTCCTTAAATCACTCTCAGAGGCCTAGAAAGTTAATCAAAAAATGACAGACAAAATAAAACTCCCTCACTGATTTTCTTCTGGAAAATCCCATATTTTAATTGAGAAACTTTCAGATCCAGTTTCACATACAAGTTTTCATAATTATATCCATTCCCTGACAGAACAGTCTGTACTTTGACAGATCTTCTTATGGCACTGGTGCTGTGAAAAATTTAGCTGTAGCTTTAATGAGAAGTTAAAAAAGTTTCTTGTTCTGAACATTTACACATAGTATAATGCTGCCTTTAAATCTGTACCTCTGGTCAAGTTCAGTACCACTTGCTCTTCTCCTTACAAAACAAAAAGTTAAAAATAATTGCAGTGTTTCAATGCTAAACAGTTTGTGAAGCAAGGACACCTTGTGTTTGCTTCATCCAGCACTCCCTCACTCCATTCTTCAGAACAGTGTATCTGGTGGTGTTCTCTTAATCTTTTGAGTTCCTGTGCTTATCAGATGATAAAAATAAAAAATAAAAATAAAGAAAAAAAGCAAACCTTCTGCTACAGTTATAAACTTTGTCATGTAAGTTTCAGGTACTTCCTCAAATTGAAGTAAACACACGACAATGGAAAAATTATACATTAATTACACTGGGGTAAGTACTAAAATTATAATGAAAAGTCCTCCCCTTTTAATTATGATATCAAACAATTCAGAGCTGAGTTTGTTGTACAGAAGCTGAAACTGATTTACAGGAGGGCCTTCAATCCAGAGGGGTAAGAAGTCATCTGAGGAGCAAAAGCCCATGGTTGGACTTCGGACATCCAAAAATGGCATGTGGGAAGGAATATGCCTCAGATTCCCAGCTACCAGTAAGACAGGAATGAGGAAGAAATACAGTGTTCCTTCTTACTTACTATGCACACACATAAGCTAATTCAGATAAGCACATATCTTTGGAATCATTATCACAGACAACTAAACTGGGATCGTATCACATCAACTTAATATTCAGAAGTACAAGTGCTCCAGTCATATTCACTCTCTATTACATTTGTTTTTTATCCAGCACAGAGTACGTCCATCCAAGCCACGACCAGTCACAATTTCTCCAGGAGAATGCTGTGGGAAATGCTGGCAAAGGCTTTACTAAGGTAAACAACATCCACTAGGCCTTGTCATAGCAGTACACTGGGTTGGTCAAGTCTTCCACAAACCCATGCTGGCTGGGACTGATCCCCCCCCACAGTGGTCCTGTATATCCTGCATCATGACACTCCAGATAGTTGCATGGCTATACAGTTCACCACACAGTGCTATACCACTTGTGCAGACTGTCTTCTCTGTGCAATAGTACAAAATACGCTTAAAAAAATTTGTATATTAATATATCCCAAGTTCTTAAAAGCTCTTCACATAGCAGGACTGTCAGCTTGATTTTCTACCAACTTAAAAAAGATTAAAAGAAGAGGTGATACCAGTATTCAAACACTTCTATTTGTATGGACTACAAATACTGAAATTCTATCAAATTAAAACCCTTGCAGAGAAAAAAAATGAATGAAAGCAGAGGAAAGAAGAAATTCCAACAGCACAGTTTAAAGAAGGTGAGCTCTGGTGGACAAAAAAAAAAAAAAAGAAGAGAAAAAGGAAAATATTTCCTCATGTAGTAAGAGACCTCTGATGCCATAGTAAGTTCACCGGTGTTTCTAGGAGTCTTGTCTTGATGTGCTGCTAAAAAAGCATTATATTATTGTAGTTATATACCAGTCACAGAACATTTGGTCTGCTCTACCTGATAGTATCTACTTTGAAATTTAGGAATGCAATACACCAAGTTGTTATGATTCAGTGTTTTACTTTAGCCCTGTAAACATAGTAAGCCTTCAACAGAAAGGCAATTACAGTAAGGGGCTATATCTGGCAATTTTTTTTCTATCAAACATCAAATAGTCCAAGTTAGACACAACATATCCCAGAACTGAAGGAACAGTATGTATCAAAACTGGGGGGGGTTGTTTGGGTTTTTAGCTCTGTTTTCCCTGTCCCGTTGTGGGCTGTTTGTAGAAACCAAAAAGCATCTTTTCATAAAGGTTCCTAAAGACAGAAAGTTTTACAGGTGAGTTCTTGTGACAATTTTTTTTAATTTTACTTTAAAGAAAGACATAAACAAAGTACCTATCAGAAAGATATGGCAGGGCTTACAGCACAGTCACGAATTTCACTTTCACAACAGCGAGCAGAGATTTTCTTTGACCATAAAATGAAATGCCATCAGAAACACTAACAGGCTTTTATTCTCAGGGCTGAGACTTACAAGAATTTGATACAAAGTATACAAGTTTTTAAATGTATTTTCTTAAAAAAAAATTGCAGTCCTTTTGTGATCTGAAGTCTTGAACTGAGACCTTTCGCCAGGCAAAATTTTAATATAGGAAGGACTCAAGTCAGGACCTGTGATACACAAGAATGTACATGCATGTGTACATTTCAACATTTCAATATTTTGTCTTCTGTTTTAAGAAAGAGCAATCAGACTTATCCATGACTTACATTTGAGTCATTTGAAAAATAAACTCCAAAATCTAAAGTACAATTAACTTACTCCTTCCATTGCAATTTATAGCAGCTTGAAGAGTTTCTGCAATAACCACTTTAAATTACAGACACATTAGTTTACACATGCCCAGTACTGCAGAAGCCCGATGCCGGGTAGAAAGAGCAAACCAGCTTCCTAAATAAAGACAAGTAATCAAAACCTTCTCTGTTGCTTTCCCTCACATCCACTTCTTCTACCTTTGGTTGTTCCTACCTGGAAATCTAGACTTCTAAAAACATGTATTTAACTGCAGGTATTAAACCACTCATAACTGTTTTACAATAATAAAGTACAGTCTTTAAGCATTTTCTTTTTAAGCCTTTTGTTCATAATTTTGCTTAGATATATACTGCATTTATAATAAAAATAATACACAAAAAAGCACAACACTTCTTTTCAAAGAATGAAAATCTTCCTGCCAACACTAGAAAAGAAAATTCAATTTTTAATTCTCACTATTAAAGACTTTCCATCTTTAGTACAAGATTTTGCAACAAACAGTACAACCTACAGGTATGGACATTAATATCAGATATGTCCACTGCTAGCTTTAAGATTCTGCAAGAACTCAGACCCCAAATTCATACACATCTACTTACAGTTTACACACAAAATATGTGAACTGGGAAAAAGAAACATTCGCTTTCCAGAAAAGGCCAAGTATAACTTTTGTAATTATGAGACAAATGTGACTGTAAGCACCTGCTTACCAGAGAAAGCCTAGACACATTAAAAACACAACTTGATACTTACCAAGCTCTTACATTTTTCGTTTCTACCACAGCCCTCAGTGAAGACGCTGAAGTCCAGAGGTGTCTCAATAACACATGCTGAGGCTTTGCCAGCCCAGACTTGATTTGTCCCTTAGTCACTCATCCTGCCTCTGCTCAGCAAGCAGCTCTGGGGCAGAGGCAGCAAGTGCTTGTGAGAGCGAGGGAACAGAGGCAACACCGTCAGGCTAAGAACAGAGACACGAGCGTGGGAAGCGCCTTTTGTTAAAATAAACACTTTAGCAGCATGGTCAAAGTATTACAATAAAAACTCTTACAATACTGAAAGCACTGATTTTAAACAGTCAAAAATGTAATCAAACACTGTCCTTGGACTATGGAGTGGCAGGCCAGGTTTTGGGGTTCTGGGGAGAGATGGTGGGCTGTGGCAGTACGCCCAGAAAACTGCTGCTGATGCCTGCACTGAGCTGTGATGTTACTGCTCCCACCCGGACAGAAAGGGCAAGAGAGACTGTTCTGTTGTTCCCTGACAGAATGACAGTAAGGAAATACAGATAGATAAAACCCTGCCTTTCATTCAGAGACGTTAGTTATCCTCACAGCTAAGCAGGTTGTAAGGAAGAAAACAGGTTCTCGTTCTCCTCTCCAAGGCATGCCAAACAGGTTCAGTGCTGAAAAGTTCCTTCCTGTGCACTTGCTTGGCTTGAAATATCCTCAACACTGTATTACTTCCCATATGTGAAAGCCAGTCTTGAACATGCAGGTACTTACCCTGCCAAGGCAAAGCACTACTACCTCAAAGCATAATGCTGCTTTTGAAAACAAAGTCTCTCTGACATCCTTCAGTTGAAGTCAACAAAAACGCAGATGTCTCAAATGCAAAATAATATCAACTGTCTCCATAAGCAATGCTGTGCTTACCTAGACAATCCAACTGGAAAGGTAAACCATCTTCCTAGAAAACTGACTACCTGGAAATAAACTATTTGCACACATAACATCACTGGAACTGATGAGACTAATAAACACAGTCCTTCAAGTTACTGCCGAGAATTGACATGTTTTACTTTCCAGCTCCAGTGTGATATTTCCTTTTCAATGACCAAACCAGCCATTGCTCAGTGATTTGATGTGGTAGGTGAATAAATTGGTATTGCTCAGAAATCCTTTTCCTGGTTCTCCATCTAAGCAGGTTTCAGCAGGGATAAATAACCCTGAAGTTAGGCAAAAAACTGTGCTGTACTATCCCGGTTAGACCAGGTCTGCAGCCAGGAACACAGACATTTTACAAGTCCACAAGTAATTTTGCCTCTGGGGATGAGGCAAGAGAAACTGGTTGGTTTAATAGAAGCCATGAAAAAAGAAAGCCACAGGGTGGCACTGCAGGTAGGCTGTATTTTGAAACTACTTGGCTGCTTATTCTTTTCTGGGTAAATCAGAGTTTATCTAATCCCATCTGCATAAAACAGGAGAGTGGTTCATTAGTTTTTCTTCAAGCATTGTACTGTCCAGCAAAAAATATCCCTAGAATATAAATCACATCATAAGAGAGACACCTACTTCAGAATTTTCAGAGTATTTTATAAATTAATGAAATGGCATTTAAGAGCATTAAGACAAGAATGCTATTGTAACGATAGGTTAGGAATTGATACCTATTTTGGGTTTGTCAGTTCATACTGAAACAATTTAAGAAGAAAATCTGCATAAAGCATGTGCACAAAAGCTAAAGAATTTTCTTCATACCATGATTTTTTATCGGTGCTGCGATGGAAAAATCTCAGACAGTTCTCTCTTCCTCTGAAAGGAAGGACAGTATTAACCTATGGAAAGCATATGAAAAAGTCTTAACACTGCACTCAACACTATCACATTCTTTTAAAACATTTTCACTCTCGTATATAAAAGAATCATACATCATTTCATCCAAAATAGACAATTTATTACAGTAATATTTCAAAGTTAGACTTCAGAGTCTATTTAATCTGCTTTCTTGGTTGCTTTTCCCCCAAATTTCAAATCCCTACTATTTGAGTTAAAAGCAAAAACAATTGCAAGAAGAGTAATTCCTGTTCATTTAGTGAAGAAACTGATTTTCAAAGGAGATTTGGAGGTCATCCAAGATTGCAACAGTTACTTTCTACTTTATAAAACAAAAGTCCCTTCGAGGTATAAATTTGATATTTAAGTAGATTCTGAACCAACAGATAATATATGACTATGCACAACCACTTCAGTTGCCAAAGTCCTCATTCTAAGTTTTCAGTTTGAAAGTATGATCAGTAACAGTCTTCCTTTGACGTTTCTAGTAACAAATGAAAATAAACAAAAAGTTGTATTTTAGTTCAGTTGCACCATAATATAAATTAGAACATCAATTCATCTCCTGTCATTTTTCTTACTCCAGAGGGCAAGAATTCTAAAAAACAGAAAGTTTTATTCCCTCAGACAGAAGTTCAAGAGTGGCCTGGTAATTGTTCCAATTACCAAGTGGAACATAAGCCATTCTTTCTGCTACAAGATTGCTCCCTGTATGTTTTAAACTGTTTATATATGGAGATTATTTTGCTATTAGATAGCATGACATTAATATATTGGCAAAGAAATATGCCAATATAGCTGTGACTTTAACATTGGATAAAGTAGGTGATTATGTAATAGCATTGATTGCCAAAGCTATACAAATTTGATTTGAGTATATTATTTACCTACTTTGTGGACTCTTACACTAAGGCACTCTATGTGCTAGTAAATGGTTTCAGAACATATGCCCAACAAATTCTAAATTAAAAAGTTAGTGACCTGGTAAGATAAACTGATTTTGGTACCAAAACCTCAATGCCTGGTGTCAATGTCGCTTAAAAATGTAATAGAAAAATTTAACAGAAAAGTAATTAAGGCACCTCCTCCTCAAAAAACACAAGCAAACAAACCCACCAGCCAACCACATAACACAAAGGAAAATACTACGGTAAAGACTTGTCTGTTATTATTTCCTCTGCTTGGATTGGGAGAGCAAAGGCTTCTGCCGAAGCGTTGGCATGTAGACACTGCATAACCATACTTAGAACACTTCATACACTAAATTCCCAGTTCATCAGTTACATGAACTATGACACTGTTTGCATATAACACTCCAAGGTCATGTGCTGATGCAATTAATGGAAGTCCATTAATTCTAAATAAAATAACTATTTAAGCAAAAAATAGACACACTGAATGCAATCTAAAAGTGCTTCAAATAAGCTTCTCTGTTCCCCTCTATTGACACCTATACCATTATTAATAGAAAGCTAAATCAAAGTGGATAAATTTGGGAATAAGGTGCATTGCTCATCAAGGCCATAACTTGAAAAGTATTGCCTTCGAGAAAGCTGTGTGTAAGAAGATACATGGAAGTAACTAGCATGTCTTCTGTTTGAATTCTGTATTTTTCTGCTTTTTAATTTCCTTATTAAAGACAGAGAAGTGTTCACGGTTAATTTGTACATATTTTGCACAGTTTTGGAATAACGTCTCTGGACAGCACCAGGAAACTTATGCAATTAAACTGTTAATTTTGCTAATCGTATTTCTAAAAATCAAATTGCCAATCATAACTTTGAAACTAGCCAATGCTAGCTCTCACAGTTTGTCATTAGTACTGGAAAGGCATTTGGTCTACAATATGCCATTACAGAATTTTCAGTTCTAGATGGGAGGTCACACACACACAACATCTCCAAGGGAAAAAAAAAATAAAAAATAAAATACTAAAATTTTAACGAATAAAATCAAATACCAAACAAACTATTTTGCCAATCCTAGTCCTATCTCACCCAATGTAGAACAAACAAACAAAACAAACAAATATAATCTATGTTTTCACATCTCAGGTATCTGAAAACTTCATATCTATTTATTTATGCAGATGACTAAATAGTTCCTTCATTTTTCAAATATCTTTGAACAGAAGTATTTGTTCAAGAACATAAAAGACAGAAATTAAATGGCTGCATAGCTTTTGTCACTGCAATTCAAAACATTTTTGTCCAATTCCTAACAACCACAGTATCACACAATTTTACACCCTTCCTCAAACTGCAATCAACATTTAGCCCAAATTTCAGCACAACCCACAGGAATTCAGATATAAGAAATTTTAAAAAGCAAAACAAAACCCTGCACACAGCTATTCTTAGCCAGCACTGAGAGGCACATTCTTACATTCCCATGGAAAGTGAACAGCACAAGGAGCATGGCTGCATGTTCCCTTGAGGCCAGGCACAACAGAACTGTTGGACAAAGAACAAGTTCTGGTCCCCACCACTAACACATACACACAGATCATGGGAACTTATTTTCTCTGGGTCACTTGGCTACACAGCTGCGTATGTGTAATTTGTTTTTAGAACACAAATGTCTTCCTTTAAATGAACAACTAGTTACTCCATGATCAAAAAAAAATCCAGAAGAGACAAAAATATCTGTATTGCTAGTATGGTATACTTGATAGCATAAGCTAAACACACATACAAAGCCTGTTTCACTGAACAGTACACAACTATCTTATGAGTACAAATTCTGCCACGTTAAAAACTTCAGACAGGTGACTACTATCATCATATCAGTCCCAGGAGTCCAAAAACAATGATGCAGAAGCCCCATCACATATAACAATCTTGTCTCTGTCTCTTGCTGGCATGACTAAAACTTATGCTTTCAGCATTTTTCTAGCAGAAATAAATTGATTTTATTATCTATTTAAAAGACAGATTAATAACAGCTATCAATAGTATCTAATGGATCAAAAAACTTCTTCCACTCCTGGACTTCTACTCAGTTTCTACTCAGAAGTCACAAAGACTTTAACAATTTCAGTAGAACTAAGGAGTGAACATGGATGGAAAATTGTTGTAATCATGTAACTGCAGCTACCATAATACACAAGTGATTCTGTGTTGAAAGTTCTGGGACAGCCACAAATTAAGTTTGTTAGACAAAGCTGGTCTAGTATTGACTCAGATATATTAAGAGGGACCAGAAGAATAGGCTACAGCTCTATTTGTCACTTCCTATATGTACAGAGGCTCAAACGAGCTGTGACTTGCTGCTAGGAGAGACCAGAATTCACCTGTCAAATTAGGAGTTAGAGTAGGTAAAGACAGAGGAAACAGACTGAGTGGTTCTGG